ATAATTTAAGGATGCAGGATTTATTTATCCATAATTAATCCTGGACAACCATGGCTGAGTTTGGAGTATCATTCACTATGTGATGCATTTACAGCCAGCATAAGAATAATTTCATCACTTTATTTTTACTGTGCAAGTTGCTTTAGTGACAGAAATGACTGAACTAATAATCAAAAGTTACTGACTCATTATTAATGACTTAGCTTGTATTTTATAGAACTCTTGAGGCCAGTAATAAAATGATAACTCTAAAAACTTAAATAACTTTTAAATTAAACTTTAAAGTTAGCTACTTTAAAATCTGCTATAAAATCTTTCAATGTAAGCAAAGACATTGAGTTGATTGAATTATAGCTAACTTTGAAGCTAGCTAATATTTCCAGTTAGTTAACTTTCCCAACCCAGTAGTGATGTGTTGTTCATGAACGAGTTGGCTCTATGAGCCAGCTTCTTTAAGTGAACAATGGGAGTCGGCTACAGTCTGAGCACCGATTTCATATTTCTTTCTTTCTTTTTATAAATCAGGCTGACATATGACAGAATAACAGGATAATCCCTATAATGTATTTAAGACTAAAACATCTCACTTTGATAATAACATTAAAACCCGAGCATGGTGAGACTTTGTTGTGCCAGTTGCCAACATACATAACATAATTCAATACTAATAAAACGTTTAATATGTGTAATGTTTTTTTAGGTTTTTTACATTACTGAAGGTATTTATACTAATCATAATGTAAAATTTTGGTATTCTGGAAATTATAAGGTTTAGTATAATTACATTGTATAGTATCTGTGAGTATATGTAGGCTTATATTATGAGCACACATACCAATCATAGGTGAAAACATTGCTATATTTGGCTGAATGATAAAAGCCAGAAGTGGTACTAAATGAAGAGCCGTTTGGGAGCTGAAAGAGCCGACTCTTATTGCTGAGCTGAGCCAAATGATCTGGCTCAATAAAAAGAGCCACAATTCCCATCACCACCATCCAGATTTTTCCTGCTGGTCCAGGGATTGAACCACGGTTACATGTACAGCTCCTGGTTTTGATTATACTTGATATACTATGATCTGACTGCAGGTATTGTTATCAACTTTTGATTATCATAAATAATATCATATATATATTCCTGCAAACTGTGTCCACTTGATACAAACTGAAATGTGCCCTCCCCTAAAAAAGACTGATTTGTTTCCTAAAATTAAAAATTTTACAAGGGAAGCATTTGGTATCTTCAATACCACACACACACAACCAAGTAGGACTACGTTTGTTGCTTAGATCATTAGGCCCCCGAAAGGGGTATATATTTAATAATGAGTCCTAATACTAAAAGTAACTGTATCTGTTAATTACATCTAATCTAAAAAACATAGCTCAATTATTGGTAATTTATGAAATCGCACCAAACAAAAACCACCCTTATTACTCATTAAAGGTCAAAACAGATGCAGTGCTGTTGCTGGTTTAGAGTACTGGTGGTCGTATTCCAACCTGAGCCCTGGCTCTTAGTGAACACTGACAGTTTAGTATTTAAGCTCTGCGTTTATAGTAGAGGGCTAGCATGGTTTTATGTGGAAAGATAGGATGTTTTATTTTTAAATGTGTTATTAATTCATAGCCTGTAAAAACAACCTTTTTGTCAATTTCATAATTTCATATTGGAAAGGAAATCCTCACACATGGATGCCAAGAGCTAGGTGTTGCGTTTCTGCCAGCGTCAAACTGAATAAATGCTTATGAATATGCCCACACCACCAGAGGGGATGGACTAAATCGTAATTCTCATTCTGCGGCTTGGAAAAACTTCCGCCTTCCCGGATGCCAAGCGGCTCTGAGGCGATCCCAGTGATGAGCCAAGGAACGCTCTGCTAACTGAGCTCTGGAGAAATACGGTCACGGCAAGATCCATATTCAAATAAACTTCACTCTTGGCCCGTGCACACAAGCCATGTTGTCACCAGCTGGCAGTGCCTCTCACCGCCCCTTCAAATACTGAGCCACTTTTGATTAACGTCTCTACGGCTAATCATGTGCATTGGCTGTGCCAAATTGGACGAGCCACGTATGGCCTCCATTTGCCTTGAAATCTCTTATTTTTTTAAACTCATTCGAAGCATTTGAGAGCCTCCCTTTACACCACCCACCCCTCCCTTAAGTCTTCTCTTGTCTAGTGCCCATACATAGAACAGAGAGGGTGGTGTGGCGGCACAGTGCCATCCTGTGGGTCCCTGAATGAGAGGACTATCGCTGCCAGATGCACCCAGCTGCATAAATGTTATTCATTTTTATGGCTTGTGTACATAATATGGCCAGTGTGGGAGATTGTGAGGTTCCACTAAAGCCTGGAAAAATCCTCAAAATTGAATCAAAGTGGAAAACTTATTTTGGCTGGTGGCTGTTCTGGACCTCCTCCTTTTCCATCTCCCTTAATTCTCTTCTACTCCTCCCTGTCTCACATCGTGCTCTCTGAGGTTCCTCTGTGAGTGATTTACAATATATTCTTTCTCCTAGGCTGCTTTGGCTGGTCTTCTTGCTCAGCCATCTTGGTGGTGGAGTGAGACAGCCGGAATATTTGTCATAGGTCCAGAGGTGCAAAGACATTAGACAGCACTTTGTCACCAGGGTCCGGAATTCACACCATTTGGCTGTTTCCAAGTCAGCTCCTTAACCGCTGACTGGCCTGTTTTCTGTCAGCTGCCGCTCTGTTGACATTGAGGGCTAAAAAAAGATGGCAACATGGAAGGATGTATGCTGCTAGCCTTTTTAGGTGGTCAAAACAACATGCAGTCTACAAAGAGCGCCGTGACAGGGATCCAAAGCCAAAGCTCTTGACTTGGTGCACTCTCCCTCAGTTCACAGTTCAGATATAGTTTAGTGGTTTAGAATGGCTCTCGTCAGGGTTTGCTAACCCCCGCAGAGAGATGGCTTGAACTCCGAGCAGAGCCATGGTCTCCCAAATCACCAGGCCCAGCTGAAGCCCCAGCAATCCAAATGCGATCATGGCGGGGGCCTCCCGTCTCATTACCAATCTCCATTTCAAACCAGCCTTCAAATGGGAACTAATGCATTAACTCTCGCTGAGGGAAAAGTCTAGGGAGCCACTATATAGCTGCTCAAAAACGCTTTCATACATGTTTTATCAGCGGGGGAAGAGTGAGCAAGAGAGAAAAGGAGCTTGGACCGAACCATTCATTTGTTGCCCATCTTATTAGCTTGGCACTGTGTTATTAGCTGCCATTGTGCTCTATAAAAGCCCCTCAGGCCTGTCCCACTGTTCGCTGAATCTGGGGTGAGCTCTGTGCCAAGTACTTTTTGGAGGTATTTGAGACCATGAAAATTCAATCCCAAACCCTCAGCATTGAGGTTTCTCACAGATAAATGAAGAGGATTAGTGGAACAATAAAACAATGTCTTACCTCAGATACCACCGTATCCTATTAATTGGGATTATAGTGGTGAAATGTGTAAAAAAAACCAACAACCCACAATCTTGTATCACAGTTGCTTTTTTGTGACAAGCTGCTATATGAAGGCCTGTCACTGTAACAATGTTCCATCAAATAGGAAATGTGTTCCAAATTATGAACAAGTAAATACAAAAAATCATGAACAATCCCAGCCCCCCCCCCCCCCCCCAATAGCTGTAGAAAAGAGCTGACAATTGCAGAACCTGTAATAATCCACCTTGGGTTGGATATGCTAGGCAATGTGTCAATTGATTCCTATCTGATGATGGACTGTGTGCTGAAATAAATTGACCTTGCCAGACGATGAGTGAAATTGATGGAGCTTTTCATCTCCGGAGGGCCGTTCCACACTCAGCCATAAAATGGATAGAGCACAGGACAGTGATTGAGTCGGGGGGAAATATAAGGTGTGTGTTTTTCTTCTACCAAAGCTTGCTTGGTAAATAATAGTTACAGGAAAAATCACTATGCGGTAACAAGTACAGGGGTTAAGTACCTGTTGTTGACTAGATGATTAGGACTAAAAGCACACAGCGCTAAAGTGAAGCTGGCCACTGACAGATGCTACCCGTCGGAGGAATATGTGGCTCAATTACTGGGAGCCTAAATTGAAAGTGATAGTGATTTAAGTCTTCCCAATACGCCAGCCCTATTCTGGCAAACAGTCTTTTCAAGGAGCCCTTTTAAAAAACCCTGCTGGAGTGTGTGAGACACAGGAGCGCCATTGATTTTCAATAACATCCCCTAATGACCTGGCCACGGTTTGATCCACGCTGTCATTATGGGCTGATACCATGGGACAGGATTGGTGGGTCTCACGGCACACAGCAGCGATGAGTAGTCGGGGCATTATCAGGATGAATTGGCCGTCTCTGGACAGGCGGCAAGCACAGCCGAGGTCTTGTCAATAACAGGATGGGGCGCCTCAGGGCTCCCTCCGCAGCCCACTCCATAGCGCCTTCCGGTCTCATTAGAAAAGCAGATGAGTGGTGTGCATGAGGAGAGGAGGCTTATGAGAAGAAAGAGAAAGAGAGCCTCTCCTCTACCATCCGATAGCCTGCCTCCCAGGCATTGCTCCTCTTAATGAGTCCAGACCGCGGGTCAATATGCCGCTGGGCTGCCAGTCAATACCGGTTACCTGCAACACAAACACTCAAAACCTGCTTTCATACGAAATCAATGTCCTATTAGTCCCTACCTATATTGCCTTGGCCCAATCTCATCGATCCCCTCTAAAGAGCTCTGCAGTCCATGTATGACAGATGATGGTCAAATGATCTGATGGCTTAGGCTACTATGGCAGCCAAGTCTGTTACCTTTATGATTTTAAAGTAATAGCTTGATATCAGATGAGCAAATACTCTGATGATCTAATGCTGAAAACTGTGGCAAAAGCATTATTGGCAAACCTATCAACCTCACATCAGCATTCCACTCAGCAGGTTTGGCTTACAGACAAATTCAGTACTTGTAGTCAGTACTGACAGTGAGCACTAGTATGAAAAACAAGCAACAAATGTATGACATTAGGTCCAAACTTTATTCCGTACATTTTAAACCATGAATGTTCATTTTCATTTTTTTGCACGCCTAAAACTCTACTTGTTTTGTATACAAGAGTCTAAGAAAAACAACTGCACAACACCACAAGGTTGACAGAGAAAGTCCTTTTGCTGCCCACTAAAAAGTGTCCTTCTTTTCTGTCTGGGGCTGGTCCAGTTTGTGACTTGGAAGTCTTTTAATAATTCCATCATTATTTCATTGATAATATAAACATGTGTTAATCCAAGTTTCTCTCTGTTTCACCAGTATCGTCTGCTCCCTCCACGCGATCTCTTCATTAGGGTGCTGTGTGCTGCTTTGCATAGATTGCAGATGATCCTTCTAGGCCCCCTTACAACACCCTCCTGTCATACTTCCCGTCAATTGGCCAGGCTTGTCTGTTGCCATGATATTCAACAGGGAAGTGACTCCCCATGTTTCATTTAATTTTGTTTTTCTAGAAATGGTTAAAAAGACTAATAAATTTACACAGTAATTTTGCAGCGAAGGAATATCAACAAGATATTTACATCAGTTTTCTTTACAGAGACTGAACAAAGACCTCATAATATATATTTATCTGCATATCTCAAAGGCAAAACAAATTAACAAAAAAAATTGGTAATGTAACATTGTACATTGTCATCATTGAGGATATCCTGGTACCATGAGGTTAAATTACTGAAGGTTGAAACCAAAATCCAGTCTTTACAGTGTGTCATAATGGATATGTCTCACAATCAACTGGGATAAATATTGTAAAAGCTGTGACTAATGCACAAAATACATAAAATTCATAGAAATGATATCTATACATGGAACAAGGATAGGAAATGTACAAACTCATTTCAGGACCTCTCTTTTCGCACAAAGCTGAAAAAAGGTATTGGATTAATATATTAATAATTATCAAATATTTAAGTCGGATATAAACATACACATATTTGTGTTCTCTTTACCGACATTATTCAACCTCCAGTCCACTAAAAATAAAGTCATGGCATGTGCTTAATCAGCCTTACACACCTTTACTTTGTACAATCATACCCTTTCCCTTAGGGAGTTTTGCTCTTCTCGGGTGAAGAGCAGTGCATTTTGTTCACAAGAAGATTTCAGATTAGGGGAGTGAGTGCGTCTAGTAAGACTTTGTGCACTTTTCTAAGAAGCTACCGAGCCTCTACCTCTTTGGGGTTGCGAGATGGGGAGTAGTCCCGTGGGTCCTGGGTGGTGAGGGGGGTAGTCCTCCTGGGTGAGGCTGGCCTGGCACTGCCGGCTGGCACGAGGGGCGGGGGTGCACTGAGTGCAGCAGTGGGGGGTGTTCTGTTCAAAGGGCCGTTGTGACCTGTGGAGGGGCTGAGTCTAGGGTAGGGCATGCCGCCTAGGTGGGGCATAAAGGGGGGCATGTGGGGTAGATGGCCCTCCATGGGGGACTGATGCAGCTGATGGAGGCGGGCTCTGTCCAGCTCCTCCCTCAGGTGGAGGCGCTCTCGCTCCTCTGCCTGCTGTCTCATCCTCTCATGCTCCCTGCGCACCTCCAACAGGTGCTCGTGGTGAGAGTAGTCGTGAGCCTCCCTCTCGCGGTAGGCTCGTTCCTGCTCGTACACACTGGGGAAACGATGTCCTTGCTCGGCCCTGAGCTGGAAGTCCATGCGCCGCTGCAGGTCCAGGCTGCGATAGGCCTCTCTAATTGGGTCCCAAGGGAAGGCAGGGTGGGGCAGGCGCTCTCTTCCTGCCAGGGGGCTCACTCCCATGAAAGGAGCCATGCGAGCACGGTCTAGCACATTGAGGCTGCCCATCTGGGGCATGGCACTCATGGAAATGGGCAGAGAGTGTGTCATGGGGACACCATGCATGCCAGGTGCTGGGATGTCACTGCCACGTGGTGAGGGAAGAGGGGGCTGCTGAGACAAAGGTGGGTGGTGGTGATGCGGGTTTGCAGGTTGGCTCATGTGAGCAGGAAGAGCTTGGGCTGGCGGTTGGGGGGCAGGCTCGGAACTCACCACCATGACCTCCTGCTCCTCCTTCCTCTCCTCCTTAATCTTCATGTCATTTTTAACCTTGTGAAGGAGCTCAGCAGGTGGGGGCTCTTTCCTCTCGCTGTCCTTGAGTGTAGGTGGGGGACCGCCTGCCATCTTCATGCCCTGCTCATTGATCACTCCCTTGGAGTATGGAGAAGGAGAACGTTGAGCGGGTTTGATGGAGTCTTCTGAGGATCTCCTCTCCAGCATCTCCTTGCCAGGCGAGCGGCTCTCCTTCACCTTCACGTCAGCCAGTGTGGAAGACTCTCTGTGGCGCTCCAGCAGCTCCTTCTCTGCCTCACGGACCCGGTCTACACTGCCAGTGTGATGTCGACCCGAATCACTGGAGTTCTGGCTGTTCGAGCGAATCAGGTTGCTGATCTGGTAGCTGACTGGTGCAGAGGCTGGAGATGAACGGTTGGAGTGGCGGTTGCGATCCACAGAATCCCTGTAATGACATAATGGTAAGAGCCAGTTAAGACAAGCATCATGTAGGTGGGTTGGCATAAGTTTCCCAAAACAAATCTGACTTATAATTCTGTTCAAAAATACAGGTTACCCTACTCTTGTCTCCCCCTGATAATGATTACTGCTTTTACATTTGAAAGTAAACCTGTGTTTCTTTTGGTAGAACATCATCCTCAGAGATCCTTCCAATTAATTTTTGACAGATAGCTTTTCTCACAGCTGCCTGTTGCCTGTTTGATTTGTGTTTCCTTGTTAGATCCATGAATTCAATTTATCTCAGTTCCACGGATACTACTAATGGACTGGAGAATTGTCACATTTTATATTTGTCTTTAACAGTTAATCTTTCCATCTCCAGAGCTAATTTGGGGGATTCAAGTGTTTTTGTTCTGTCCAAAGATAATTTAATCATCTTGTACATATGGTAATGCTAACTGTAAAGGGATCCTTATTGTGGCCATGTCTTTAGAGTTGCAATCATGTATTTGAGTAGCTTTGTTATCTGTTTGCAAGTATTCACAATTTCTGTGTTTTACATTTGTTGCGAGTGAGATTACTTTAACCGTAATTACAACAAATAAATCTAAGTTATCCTGTTAGGGGAATCACATGATGCTTTGAAACAATACATTGAAGTGAAGTCCTGGTTCGAATGTTGAATTGTGATGAAAGCAAAAATAAGGGTAATTGCATTACTGCAGAAATATTATTTTTCACTAACTGAAACTGAAAGCTAATATCCTCTAAATAATACCTACATAACAATACATAAAAGGTTTATTTGCATCTGCCTTAAACTCACCTGTCTTTATCCTTCTCCTCTTTACTGATGGACGGGTCTCTTTTCTCTCTTTCCCGTTCTCTTTCTCTCTCTCTCTCATGGCTGTTGGCTGAGCTGCTCCTCTCTGCGTCTGCGGTTTTCGGCCACTGTGGCGGAGTGGGGAAAGACGGCGGGGTGCGTCGAAGTCTGTTCCAGGTGTCGTGGTGGGGGCTGCCAAACGTGGGCAGTCCTCCTGGCCCCTCCTTGGTGCCAAACATATTGTTGGACCCTGGAGGGAAGGGGAAGAAAGGCGTGGGACCCACTGTAAGTTAATTGGGCACAAAACCTTCTTGAGGACACATAAGATGAGAAAGACTCGACAACAAAAGCTGCTTTTGTCTTTGTCTCTGGAGATTCTCTCACTGAAGCTGTTTGAAAGAGTTAGAGGTTAATGGCTCCCCCCACCAGAGAAAAAAACTACTCATTTGCTTTTGGACTAAAGGGCTTTCCCCCCTCCCTTTTTTTTGAGCTGGATGAACAGGGGAGACTCACTTGCCCTCTGGAGTTGAGGGCTGTGAAAAGCCAAGGGAGACCTTAGCATTCCACAGCATGTCTATTCCAATCACATCCATTTTCACAACAGGGTGACCGATTTGGCACACAAAAATAGGAGGGATGAAGAGAAAGAGAGAAAGGCATAGAGAGAAGGATGTAGGGGGGGAAGAGAAAGCCCTCCATGGTGGTGCAGAAGGGGCTTGTCAAATAATTAATTGATGAACTGCCACCAAACAGCGGACCTGAGAGTGCCTGTTGGCAGCAGCGCAGCCAGATTAAAGCCAGGCTGTTGGGGACATGGTTGGTGGATGAAGTGGAGGCAGGGAGGAGGTTTGCTGTGGTGTGTTGTACTGCCTAGTTGGGCTTCCCTGGGCTATGGCTGTTTTGACACAGAAACTAGAGCTAAGTGTCTTGAATTTTTTTTCCTCCCCTCCTGGCTCTCCCTGTGGTCTAACGCTGCCCTGCTCTGTTCTGTTACTGGCCATAGGGGCCAGATTGAAGGGGGGAGCGGTGGAGGAGGAGAGGGGGCCAGCGCTTACCAAGCGAGGGGTTGCCTAATCCTCCGAAGGCACTGCTTGAAAGGTTGCCGAGGCCGCCAAAGGAACTGGAGCGACTGAAAGGATCTGTAAAATGCCAAACAGGGATTAGCAAAAGGGGGGGCTGGCTAGCGGTGCTCACCCCAACACCAACCCGTTCCACTCGGCTTTTCTCTTACAAGCGAGCTGTGGTTTTTTTAGCGCTGCCGCCCTAGCCCTCTGCCTGGTAATCCTGCAGTAGCCAGGTCACTTGGATGCTGGATTCACTGCCACTAACTGGAGTGGAGTGTCTCTGACCTTGCTGGGGCTAATGGAACAACGCTGCTTGATGGGGAAATTAGTTTTGAGTTGCTGGAGCTGAGATGGAAATAGTGTGTGGTAGGACAGGGGAACTGGAGGCTGTAAAAATTAGGCTAGACAGACCACAATGATTTAACTGGAGAATCAGTGTCTGATGGGCTCCGCTGACGCACACTAGAGCCTTCAAATTTATAGGAATAGCACAAATATTTACCCAGAGAAGTCAGTGAATAACATTCATCAACTCTTAATTTGCAGTCCCATTTTAATTCAGCAAAAATCCATCAGGAAATGCGGAACTTCTCAACAGATTAGGGTTTAAGGATTTTCAGCTCTGCGGCTTGTTGATATATCAGAAAAGACAACAATTGCGAAATCTCCTCTGCCTCACACATGAATTCCCCGGACAGGAAAAAAAAATAATAGTTCGCTAAATCTTTCCCCTCAGTGCACCATGTATTCATAAGCACAAAATGGATTGACTCAAGGGCTTATTCCATGAAATCAACTTGCCACTCTGAACCCACACAGTGTCTCAGATAGAATGGAGGAAAATAAATGAATGCATAAAAAAATAAATGCACAAATAAGTCCAACAACACTATCTACCTTCCATTCTTCATGTGAACTACAAAATCAACTTTGCAAGCATGTAGAAAATAGTGTTGTGTATGCTGCTGCTCTGCATATTGGTTGTCTAAACAAATGAGGGGAGACTGAATACTAGGCTAGCTATGTTATTGAAGGCTGTGTTATGAAACATACTGTCTGATTATGTGATGGCTACACTCTCCATTACCATGAACTCTGAATGTACTCAAGGAATGCCGCAACCCACTGACTACAGTGGCCAGCTGGACTCCATATTAACATTCAAATGAACCTGAGATGAAAATTAGAAATATCTAGGCTTTAAATTACCCTTGGTGGCTTGTAATGTGTTTAAAACATGAGGCAAGAGAGAGAGAGAGTGAGGGAGAGAGAGAGTGAGAGAAAGAGGAGGAGATAAATGTCTAAAAAAAAATTGAACATGGAGTTACTTACACTTACCTGCCAAATGGCTAGGAGGCAGGAAGCCGCTGGGGTGGGGGGCGGGGCCGTATGGAGAGGGAGCTGGGTGGCCAGAGCCTATCAGAACAGACAGGATATAACAGTGTTATTATTATCCAATCAGACAGTTATACATTCTCTAATTAATCATGCAGAGATAAACCGAAATTATTCTCCATCCAAAACAATCACAATCCTGACCCCTGTGATTAGCCAGGACTAAAAATGGAAATGTGAGTAAATATCAACAAGTATTTTTCTGCAACAGCATCACAAACCTGTTGAATATATATGTGAGTTAGAGATGGCTGGGTAATGCAATTGAGCAAATTAGCTTTTATTTGAGCTGTTGCATGTTTGTGTGTGAATCTATAGTGGCTTATTGAGGTCACTTCCTGACTGTGCAACAAGCTGGCCTCTTTCACAAAACACTGTTACCATCACCCATATTCCATGAATTGTTAATGAATGAACCAATTACAGGAGTGCCTCTGACACACCACTGCATAATTACCAGTCAAAGGCCGTTCGCCTCTTTGTTGCCCTCCAACGCAGGGCAAATCAGTCAATTACCTAACCAAGAGTCATCCATATTCATAGACATATCTGACTCCCTTTACTGGCAAAACATTTGCTACAAAAGCTCTATAATTAAGTGAACATTACATGAGAGGAGAGAAAAAAATGATGCCATTTCATTACAGTGGTGGAGGAATAATTTCAAAATGTGGCTATAAATGCTCATTTGCATAAAGACAAAACTGGCATCAGAATGATTTGAGAATGGGATCATTTGAGTGTTTTCAAATGATTTGTCTTTGAGGGTTCAGTTCAGTTCTCTCCTCTGGGCACTGGGAGACCCTACTGACCTGTGGAAGAGAAGAGGGGTCGTGCCAGGTCATGGGGGTACGGGAACCCAGGGAAGACTCCTGGAGCTGGGGGTCGACTGAACAGGTCCAGCTTCCCATTCATGTCTAGTTTGTGAGGATCCAGCTGCATTTGCTGTAGTCGAGAGAGGCAGAGAAAAGGAGAGGGAAACAGACAAAGAAAATTAGGTCGGTAGACAACAGTACCACACATTTCCAACGGCAGAGTGAGAGGGATTTACCCTCGGCTACACTGGGTGAGAGATCAGAGAAGGACAGATACATCAACAAAGGCTCCATGTCTCCAATCCAACTGTGTTATAACAAATATATGTAAGCTGATTAGGGACACTAAATCCTTGGTAACAGGGTTCAAGGCCCAAGAAGAACTGACACCACCGGGCCAGTGGCATTAGCAGAGGATCTCCATGGCGAGGCCACACCGTCCTCCGTCAGTAAGAGGAGTATTTGCAGACAAGCATTTTTTGTCCTGTTGCATTTAGGTCAATAAAACTATTACGTCAACTGCTAATTCAGTCACCTGAGTGCTATAATTGTGTCAATTTATGATTTGCCCCTTTTTCTTTAAGCAGAGTGAGCCATGCATAAGGCCTTATGCTTAGGAAGTGTAACCTTCTTACTGTATTTTTGAGAATGTGGTATTTTTAGGACATATTTTTGTTGGATTTCCGATCGTTATTAACTTTTACAGCCTTCTGTTTCTTTTTTGTAATCTGCCTTTTCCCACCCACATGGTCTCTCTGAATCCAGTAACAAGATTATAGATCATTTTACAAGCAAAAATCCAACTATGACATGATCAGCCCTACTTACTCCATTAGCAATACACTTTATCTGGTTTTAAATGACAGCAAGATTCCTGCAAGACATCATTATCCATCTCACGCACCTTCATTTTCTGCTGGTGGTGGTAGATCTGCCATGCGATCTGGACATGCACTGCGCACCACTTGCCAGGTTTCTAAAAATTTAGAGAGAAACTGAGGTTAGCCTGCTGGCTTTGATATAGGGAGCTAAAAATGGATTCTGGCATTGAGATTTTCTGGCCAAACTACAAAGTGGGAACTCGTCAGAATTTTCAACCAGGCAACGGATTAAGAAAATCTAACCCTGAATTTAGCCCAATAGAGACCTCAAAGCTAACCTTAAATGCAGCCAAAACCCTGCATTTCCTTGATCAGAAATTGTTGAAGAATTTGCAGTTTTAGACTTTGTGGCCTGGCCAGAGAGATGAAACATTTAACAAAAGATGCACAACGCGACCACTTACCCTAACAGATGTCCTGAATGGATCTGTTATCTGTATGGACAAACAGACAATCATTATCACCAACAACAAAGATAAGTAGCCAAAATGTGCAGTTCTGCAGAGCTCAAAAATCACCAGTGTTGGGAGGCAGTTCACACTGGGACTTTCCATTCTAAAAAATGCACATCCTTACTTTTTGGCACTTGGTTAAATGTGTCCATAGAGATGCATGAGGAGAAATACTGTGTCTCATAAAATGCAAATACATGCATTAAAGTCTCTCTGAGACACATACTGCATGTGTGGCTTTCACCAGAAGGAGCAGAGCGGGAGAGATTCGTTCGGATGCTATCGGCTTGATGCTTACCCGTGGATCCTTCTGTAGGAGTGTGTGAGGTACTGCTCCAGGACGTGCCGCTACATCGATGGGATTAGATGCCTAACAGAGAGAGAGACACAAAGGGAAAGAGATATGTGGTGATCAACCAGATTTACAGTAGTTAAAACATTTATAGATTTAAGAAAGAAACTATAGCATACACAAAACTTTAGCAGGTAATTTAATCCCATATACCCCATTAATTGTAATTTTTTCCCTTTGAGAATTATAACCCTAACTTTCACTCCCACTATCTTAGTGTTCTCACACGCAATGTAGATATACAGTAGAACAACTCAGCACTGATGTCAGTGTCATGGTTTCAAAACCACGGAGATCCTGTAGCTAGTGATGCCAGCATCACTCCAACCTTATATCGTCCTTCAGTAGCACTATAGCACACTAATCCTCAACAACTGCTACTGTATGGCTGACGTCAGTAGATAAAACTGCAATAATGCTTCAGGCCCTGAGCTTTGCCACAGTAACACATCTCTGATCTCTCCGATCTCCACTTTAAGTCTTTGGAGCGCAAGTGCCTAGATCAGCCTTATTAATCCATCCCTACTGTACATCAGGGATATGAGGATGCTGCAGCGTGACCTGGGTCACCAGCCCCCACAAACAAATACACATCCCAAGCCCTCCCCCCACAAGCTCCTCTCCAAGAATACTTAGCAGGGGCTTTGGAGGCATAAGACTGTTCCTTGAACCATCTGGAGGGGCCTTTGACAAAAGGGCCCCTCCATGACGGAGCCCCCTGGGAATAGGGCCAGCGGATTTAGGCCAGCTTTGATTGGTGGCTTACACCGGGTCACAGCCGCTGGGCATCTGCCAGACAGACTCACACCCTCCCACCCCTTCCCATCCCTTGTATCCCCACCGCCGCTGCATCTTCTCTCCTTTGCTTTCCAAAGCAGACAGGCATCGCTTTCTTATCTTTGGCATGACCTGTCCCAGCTCAGGTCAGCACAAAGCTGACCCTGGTTCAGGTCCAGTTAAGAAAAAAAAAGTGAACTTGCATTTAGAAATTTCGGTTTTCCTAGTGTGTGCTATAAGTGAGTTTTTGCTTCAGTTGTGTAGAAGCTTATGTGATTTATTTTGTGCCCGTGCTTCCTTTAATTCTCTGCCTGTTTGTAGATCGTGGGTTGAGGGTAGGGATGTGGGGCTGACCTTGGGCTGGAAGGCTCCTTGCAGCGAGCTGAAGGGTCCTGAGTGTGGGAGCAGCGGGGGCATGCCTGGCATGGTGGGGGGATAGGAGGGGAAGAACTGGGGAGAGAAGAGGAAGGATGGAAGACACAAAAAGACACATAACAGAATCATACAGAGATACATACAGGACTCAAGCATAATGTACACGCAAAACCACAGCCACACTAAATGCTGTCACGGCAACATTCAAATATGTAAAATATTTGATTTGCCAAATGCAAATAACAAATTCAAATAAAAAAAAAAACTCACGTTTGAATGTCTGATGAATGGATTGTCCAGTTTGGGGGTGTATTTGTCGAACTGGAAGAGATAGGAAAGAAAAGAATTAGAAAGAAAAAGCCCACAAAATGATCTACTTTACCAAAATCCTTCATGCAAAAGCTTTCTTTAATAATAACGTCTCATTATTTTTACATCACAAAAACAAAACACATGATCAACATCTGTAACTGGTAATAAGCAGGGTTTTGATCCAGAATAATAAGCCCTAGAGTAAAGCAGCTGGCTTGCACCGGTCATGGGTTTACTTAAACTGCATGGTCAGATAGGCAGTTAAATTACTAACAATACGACCGCTTTAGCAGACTGCCAAGATGAAGACAGCCTGCATGATTTTCCAATTGAGCATACAGACGTTGGGCGTGGAGGCCCGGCTTGGGAATCAGACCATTTTAAAACCAGACCAGTTGTTTCTATTCACTGGAAAATTTGTAGAAATGTGAATCTAATTGCTTTTGACTGCTATGGCTTCTATTTTTATTTTTTTTTTTACAATGAGACTTGATGGTATAGATGAGAGCGGAGTACGTGGAGACATACAGCTTGATTTGGGTGGTACAAAACCAGACTACAAAAGGGATTTAGTCAAAAAACAGGCCTCTTCTCTGTGCGTAAAATCATGGAAAGAACATATAGAGCATCCTGTGTGTCTGTCTTTTATGATTGAAACTGAATCGAGTAGATGACATTTGCAATGGTAAGATGCTAATTCAGGACATCTCAGCATGAAACTGATGTAACCTTGAGATGCTGAATTGATGTGAAGAAGCAGAGCTTATGCCTACCACAACGATCTCAATTGGAATTTACCTTAAAAAAACTATGTCCTGATCATGTCCTGAACACATGGGAATCTAGTCAGTAAGCTGAGAAGGAGCGGAGGGAGGAAGAGAACCGAGAAGGTTGCCCCATGTATGAATGGGGACTTTGTACGTCTGTTCACAAGCCAATACTGGCTCTCTATTTTGAAACAGGCTAATTACAAGTGACAGTAACTTATTCCTATTCCGCAAATACACAAACCATTTGCAGGTACTTTTTGCGAGTGTTTTCACAAAGCTCTCTTGGCAGGCGCAGACGTTTTGGGTTTACATAAAACAGGAAAATGAGTGGGTATGAATCAGTGTTTCTGTGTGTGCGCGTGTGCAACGACACGGGTGGTTGAGGGGGGAGCGGGTGCGGGGTTGGCTAGGCTGCTGGTGGAGACACAGAGTTTGGGTCAGGGGCCCTCTGTTGAAGCAGGGCCATTCACATCTGCACGCAAAATGGCCGCAGCGGCAGTGATGGTGTTGGCGGCCTTGTTTGTGGGCGATAATGGGCCCAAATCAAAGACAGACAGCCTACTGAGAGGAAACGCCGAGCCAGCTTCCGAGCTCATTAAACAGCTCCTCTGCATTTCTGAAGGCGCGGCCTGTTTAATGTCTGACACTGGGAGAGGGAATTTGGCCGCTTTACGGCCTTGTAGAGAAAAAAAAACTGAAAAAAACAAAACTCTTGCCCTTGTAATTTATGGTGCCTGTCACAGTTTTAGAGTAAACAGCTTTGGCTAATTAAAGCTTAATATTTCATCTTATAACAATTAAGGATATTCCTTGTCCAAAGACATGGCAGGGGCAAGGGGGCGGGGTAGAAAAGACACTTGGTGCTGCCATTTGGCAAGCCAGCTGCTTGAGGGCGTTGAACAATAAACAAAAATAGAGGCTTCATAATTTCATTAATTACAACCATTAGCCAAGGACTGTTACATAGTTGAAATGACATGGAGCGTCTAGTGAGCAGTAGAAAATAAAAGAGAGTGAGAGAGAGAGAAAGAGAGCGAGAGAGAAAGAAAGAGGCTGCACAACTGAGCCATACTTGGTTTGCCTTTTCATGACAATACAGTAAAAACAACCACAACATCATTATTACTCCTGCCTCTCTAAGCAAGCACCAAAGAGAAGAAAAACAGCATTATTACTGAGGGTAGGAAGGGAGGGGGAAAGGCATACATTAAGTAACAACACAGTTTCAATTAAAAGGAAAAAAAACAAGACATTAATGGCAGTCTCAAATTCCATTGTAACAACACAACAAGAGATGGGGGCATGTACATCACGGGCTACATAATGGCAGCATTAGTGAGATGAGGAAAATCGTCTCTTTCATCTTCAAAGACAGGACTGTGTGCTGTATATAATTCCTACCATGTCAGGAATGAACAGCAGACCAGATAACGGCATAGCCTTTAGTCTTATCTGAGACTGTGCCATAAATACCAGAGCTTTGATTTCTAATGTACAGGATGGGATAATCTTGGGGCAGGGCCTTAACGGGACCACAGAGGTCATGACACAATGGATTGGATCTATTAGACTAACGCCAAAAAGCTATACATTTCTGAATTGACTGTCAGAGATTGAAATGATGGATGTATAGTCATAACCTTTTTTCCTCTGTACTAATCTTAGAGCTAGTGTTAGACACCCCCACCTCCAGACTTAATGGAAGTCAAAGCAGGGAAGCAATTACAAACATTATCAAAACAGTTTTGCAGTGATGTCATCCTTGCTTCATTCACAATGAAGTCATTTGACCGACTGCAAGGCTTTGAGTTTGTCATTGGCAAGTACGGTTGCCTTTGAATTGTGCACACACACACACACACACACACACATACGTGGCAAGGAACTTTCACACAAATATACAAGTCTGCAGGAATACATTTATTCACACACGCGCACACACACAGACAGATCTTTTTGACGGCGCCTTTGTTGCTCTTTGTGAACAGGCAAATGAAAACATTCAAAACCATTTAAAACACAGCCATATGCAAACAATTGAAAAGCCTGCCTTTAGGCAATGGCCCTTTTTTGATCTTCAGCAAACACTGAACAGCAAAATCTATTTCAAAGTTAAAAAGGAGGTGAATAATTTAAATTAAATTTGTAACACTGGCCTGCTGACGCACCACGTGTCAGAAAAAGGGCCTCTATGAAAAGTGATACATAATGAGGATGTACAATTTTATAAATAATTTCCCTATGGATGAAGAAGTTGCAAAGCATGAAAATATATCTGTGCCTGGTCGGGTTTGACCAACCTGAGCAGCAACTAGCACGTAGCTGGACGGACTAGGAGATGTACCATAGGGTATGTGTGTGTGTGTGTGGGTGTGTGTGTGTAAATGGAGGTGGCAGCCAGTGGGTCATATCTGCCCAGCATTTCTCTTTATTACGGTGGAACAGATGTGATGCTCCCAGCTTTTCACCAGCTCTCAGACTTTAGTAGCAGGACAGTATGCAAAAATCTAAGAGCAAAATTCAAACTGAATCAGTGTCATATTTTTTTTGAAGGGAGGGGTTCCTACAGCTACGGGACGTATTTGGTGAATTTTGGGGTAAAGAAAAAAAGGGAGGAATTGATTGAAGAGGAGGTTGGGAGGGGTGACAGTTGGGTGGGTGGGAAGTTATGGGAGCTTTTTGTTACTTATCCTCACATTTCTGGCTTGGGTACGCACCATGGGGGGTGCGGTGGGCGGGGTGAGGATGGCGGCCGGGGGCAGACTGGCGGGAAAGGGCGTGAAGGTGTGCTGGTGGGTGTGTTGGTATACCATTGTTTGACTATCTAAACAATCATGTATTGCCACCTCATTCGGGATTCTGATTGGCACATTGTCACAGGCAACTCTCTTACCACCACCAATGAGTCCCCACGTAGAAAACCCTCACAGCATGAGCTGGAGAAACAGAGAATGCCAGGTGACTATTTTCTTTCTTCTTTCTACCCTTGTTGTGAAGACTGACTGGGCGCCCGTGCCTTTTTTTTCTTGTGTCCCCCTTCCCTCTCCCCACCCTTTTTTTCTTTCTTTTTTTTTTTTTTTGGTTTTCCTCGCTCTCCTTTCTTGCAGAGCATGACCTCCTGAGGCAGGAGCTGAACAACCGCTTCCTGGTTCAGAGTTCAGGCGGGGCCGGGGGCGTCCGCCTCGCCGCTGGCCCCGCGCGTCCTTGAGGGGCCGAGTTTCACCAACACCAGCACATGCACCAGCCACC